CTGGGGGTGTTTAGCATTGCATTTTTTGGAGAAACCCTATAATTCCAAGTTCACCTCTTTGCCAGGAAAAGTTAGAGGACAGCCTTTGGTTAAGTGATAAGACTAATACAAGGACCTAGCAGAAAATTTGTAAAGAGAGGTCCTAGTATGGTTTTCTATTCTACACTCTGAAGAAAGATAAATAAAAATGCTGACAGGATTATTACATAGTACATGACTGAATTCATTTATCCCTCAGTATCTTTTAAAGAGGCGTCAGGGGACAGGATTTCCACTAAAATTGAGAACACGAGTATAGAAGCTGAGGATACTGCAACTAATTGGTCAGTTAGCATAGCAAGATGGGCAGAGTTGCTCTCCACTAGCAAGTTCTACAAGGAGAGGAGATATTTTGAACATCAGGAACACATCATGCATATTCATCAGAAAAGTCTTCATGCTCTAAATGGTGTTCAATGGCTAAGTGCGTGTGATCGTTACGCGAATATGACTTTTACATACAACCTAGTACTAGCATTTCAGCTATTCCACCCAATTTTTATTTTGGGAGATAGAATAGCCTGTCCCAATTATCCAAGGGAAAAATAAGGCTGTTAGGGAAAGGCACGAGTTTCTGGCCTAGTTGTTATTCACCTAAAGTACTGGTGAAGGCCAGGCAAAGCTCTCAAGGAGAAGGGGGTCTGAAGAAGTCCAACATCAAAATTGGAACTGGGAATATTGGATTGGAATTAGCTGACATAAGGATATACCAGGAGCCAAGGTAAGATCAGGAGTCAAAACCAGAACCAGGAGTAGCGTAGAGTCAAACCAGAACCAAAGCCAGAGTCAGGATATACTAGGAGTTACAAGCAAAACCAGAGAGCCAGTAAAAGAAAGCCAGAAACATAAAGAGATTAGGAGCAAGTACCTCCGTCTCCCTGGACAGGAATGTAGTGAGCGGGGCCTGGTTTATAAGGGCTAGAGCCGGGGTGGGGGAGGGGGTGTTGTCTATGGCCTCAGGCTTTTGGCTGCCCTGATTATCTCATTTGGACCAGCTGAGCCCAGGGGACTCTTCTGGGCTTGTCTGTTTACTAGCTACCTCAGGGGATGAATTCCCCTTAACTTCTGATTAGGAAGGCTGGGTTTTAATGTGGCCTTATTACAGTGGAAAGTAATGGAAAACTCCAAAGAGTTGCGAATAAAATATTCTAGATATATAGGTATCTATTTGGGTCTTTATGTATATTTATTTGAATTGACAAAGCATTTAAAATTATAACCAGATAGCCAGTACCACTGGAACAGCCAGTAAGTCTTGTACAAATTGATGTTAGATTTTTAACGCCTTTCTGCAATTCCATTCATTAAAATTACTGTTTTGCCTGAAAATACACTAATATTGATTATTATGAAAAGATATCTTTTTTCTTATGGTATTGTACACTGCGTTATTTGCAGTTCTAGCATTTTAATATATTTATGAATGTTGTCAATTAAGCGTGTTCATCCAAGAAAACCTTAAAGTGTGTTTTATTGCAGTTGTTCACTGTGAAGACCATAGCTCTATAAAGGAAAATGTCTTTTTTCCCAAAAATATTATTGCTACCTGAAGTTGAAGGATACCTCAACAATGTATTTAGAAATCAGGAGGTAGGTTCAAGAAGAAACTGTTAATAATCAACCTGCACAACCTTAGATTTGCCTTTTCCTGATTGAATATTGAATTATTCAGCTATCGGCATTCTTCTAACTTCATTTATTTGTGTGCAGTTGCTGATAAATGCCTCTCAAAATAAAGTAGCATGTGTTTAATATTCAGGCATAGGGAGATCTTTGTAATCTAAGGCTCTGCTTTTGCAATGGGTCCCATCTGCTTCCAGGACTGGGAATCATGGCCCAGGATTATTAATTTAATCTAGAAGTTATGAAATATCCAGTTGTCAGAAGTACAACCATTTATATATGTACATTTTTAGACTTTTTTAAACGATGGTAAATTAATATTGAAGTGCTATCAACTACAGTTAGCCATCAGACTTAAATGGAAAATTAATTGTGGTGTTTCAGTGAGCAGAAAAATTTGTATTAGCAATAAGGATATTTAGAAATGAAGAAGCTCAGCAACTATTTATGTATTTCAAATATTTATATAGCATAAATGCTTCATTTATAGCCTTTTCCTGATCATGGCATGTAAGGTTAATTTTTTTTAAAGACAGTTTGTAAAGGAAAAATAAACTTTTAAAATTTTATTTCTGGCCTGTAACATTTTTTCAAAAATATTCCTTCCATCCCAATCTGTTAGAAATACCAGGACTCTAATATGATGCTTCCTACTTTTTCCTGAGATGCTTTGGAGGGCCTGCGAAAGCTAATCGGAGGTTCTCAGGCTTTAAGCGCTAGGAATATTGAACAAAAAAAAAAAAAAAAGAGAAGAGAGAATTGGAGAGGGTTTTTAGCAGTCTGTACAAGTTTCCCTCAGATTGGCAAGTACCAACAAAGTTGATTCTGAGATGCCATAATCCTACTTCTGTGGTCATCCATAAATTCTTCCAGGAAATTCTCCTCCTTTCTTCCCCATCCCCACCAAATACAAAATAAAAACAGGTAAATTGCACTTGAATTTCTTATGGAAATAAAAACAGAAACAACAAGCTTTGTGTCCTCGTCAGTCCATCAGACCAGCTCACCACATCTTCAAGTTTAAATCCATATTTGTCTCTCTTGAGCCTCTGTATAGTCAACTCAGTCCTCTGTTTAATAGGGTGATATCAATGCCATGAACAGGCATTCACTTCTAGGAGTGGACACTTCTGAGAAATTTCCACTGCTAGAAATCTTTCTGGAGAAGCAGTGTACAGGAGGTCAGCCTGCGCCTCCTCTCTGTACCTCGTGGGGAGCAGTGGCTGCTCCCAGGGGCAGAGGAGCCCTGGGGAAAGACTCTCTCTGCCTTCCCCAGCCAGGCCTCTGGGGAATAGGGAGGGAGAAGTTCTTCAGCCCTGTTCCCAGAGCCCCTTCCCCAAGCCAGGTAGCTCTCAGTTTGGGGAAGGGGCAAAGCCCCTTTTCCTCCCTGCCACCAACCTCCAGTCCCCAGTCTGGGGAGTGGGTGAGGTGCAGTGAGCAGCTGCTCCTCCACTACCCCTCAGTCTCCAAGAGCAGAAAAGAGGGAGCAGTGGAGGCAAACCATTGCCTACAGTCACCCCAGGCTGGGGAAGGCCCAGGAAGTCTGGGGAGCAGTAGGTGTCTGTTTCTCCCCTCCCCTCCCAGTCCCCCGAAGGAGTCAAGTGGCAGGGAAGAGCAGAGGCATTATTTCTTGCAAGAGAGTCTTGCATGAGAGAGATCTTGTTGAAAGAGGAAGATCTTTCTCCTAAAAAGCCTGTCTGCCTACGGAGTGTATCTCTGTACTCTTTCTGGAAAGATCCAGTTCTTTTATAAATAAAGCGTTTTTCTTGCAGATGAAATTTGATGAAAGCCTCTTTGCTTGTGGTTATTATCAGGAGAGCAGCCGTTCTTGTGGTAGAAATATAATACCTACACCTAAATTAACAGATTCGTTCTGCCATGGATTCTGCTGCTAGTTCAGATACTCTTGCTCAGTAAGACCGGTCTGTTGAGGAAACAAAATCGGTCCTTAAGTCTGTGTCTGTGTTTTTCCCTAAAGTTATTGGGGGTTGCAGGTACATTTGAGGGACTATTACACAGCATGCATGAGTATGTTCCTTCAGCCCAGCATAATGTTTGCTTTATCATTTTTGTCTACAACAAATACAACTGTACAATGCATTTTATTATTACTTTAAAATAGTTTTCCCCTCTTCTTTTAGCTTGTAACTGCTTTGGATGCACAGGAAGCAGAGAAAAAGTATGAATCTCTGTTAAGTCATCTGCCTCATCCACCAGCCTTCACAACTGTTAGAGTTAACACTCACTTAACCTCAGTTAAACATGTGAAAAATCTGTTGTTTGAAGAGATCCAAAAGGTTTGTGCAGGTTTATACCCTGGTTTTCAGGATAGCTACAAGGATTTTGGGGTTTTTAGCAGTTAAATTACACACTCTCCCTCATACATGTTATGGGTGTCTTCTCTTTCCAATGGCAGACAAGGTTCTTTGGGTGAATCTGGTATTTTTTATTTTTTTAAAATGGGGGTTGGGAAGGCCTCGGGGTACGCGGCAGCGGTGAGGAGAAAGGGGTGCACTTCCAATTTCGCCGGCTATACTTGCCTATTGTTTGCAGTGGACTTCCACCCCGCTCATTGATTGGCCAGGGGACTCCCTGTTTCATGACCAGCCGCCGGGGGTGCACCAACCAAAAAAGATTGAAAACCCCTGTAATAAAAGATACCAGATTCACCCAAAGAACCTTAGCTGGCTATGTCCTTAGACCAACATGGCTACAACTTGTTCTCTTTCCAATATAATTTAGGGACTAAAATCCTGTTGATAGTGTCAAAGTCCATCAAGTGTAACAGTGGTCAGTATGCATGAAAGGAAGGCACAGTGTACCAGGCCAATTTTGTAGAAGAAAAAAAGACACCTTTTTTGAAAAGATCTGAAGAATGAAACTAACTTGTTGAAAAATGTGTGCGATTGGATCACAGAGAACCATTAGTTCTTGTGTGTTGTAATGCCATACCTTCTTTCAAAGACTTTAAATCTATTAATGCAATCCAAGTACTCTTAGATTATTATTCTTAGTATTTAGCAGCACCTAGAAGCCCCAGGATTTGGGGTACCTACGTACTAACGTACAAATACAGAAAGAAGGAACTGTAGTCTAGACCAGTGTTGCTCAATCACTGGCCTGCAGAGCCATGTCCTGTGATCTGCAGGGTTTCCCCACAGGTCCAAAATTTGGTGGTGGAAGAGTGCTGGAAATTAATGCTGCCACTGCTCCCCCACTGCCAGATTTCCAAGCCCTTTGGGCCAGATGACATAACTGTATGCAGGACCAGGGGCCAAGCAATGGACCACCAACACATGCCAAAATTGGGGCCATGGACCGGATCCCACATCAGGCATCTAGCCCACAGGGCAAAAGGTTGGGTACCGATAGTCTAGATGTCATAGCAGTTATATAATGAAACAAATAGTCTGAGAAGGTATGTGCAAAAGGTGACAGGAAAAAGCTGTTTCTATCGGGGGTTTTCCAGAAACCTTGTAGACAATAGAAAGAACCTGTGGTTTCAGGTAGTTTGGGTAGTTTCCCGCTGATGGTGTAATGTTCAAAAATATTTTGATATATAGTCAATTTAGGAATTTTTTGCTTGCTTTTGTTTATCTAATGACTACTGCTATCTGACAGAAAATTAATTGGAAGACAGAAGGTATGAAGAATAGATTGTTTAGAAATGCTAGTATATCTCTGTAATCTTTCTGCACAGATCCAGTAGTTTTATAAATTATTGATGTTAGAGGGCATACAAAGAGCTATTGCGTGACAGGAGCCCAAACAGTTCTGTAATACAAAAGTAGTTGTCGGTACTCCCTTGACTGGGCTGGCATCACAAAAATTTACAGATTTATTTAGAAAGGAGAAACCCCGTAGGAAATGCAGACAGGCTTCTAGTTATATGAGGTGGAAAAAAATAAAGGACCTTCTAAAAGTCTAGGATCAATTCTAAAATGGCAAGCCAGAAGTCAGCTCTTTTGAATATATTTGCACAACTAATTCCCATAGCAGCCAGCATCTTCGCAGGTCCTTCTAACTTGAAATCACTATCCACAGACATGTCAAATAGGGAGGAAGTGCTCATGATACATTAAGTAATATGTTAATATGTCTACCTGATGATGACATAGCACAAGCCTGTTCCCAAAAAGCAGACTTTATGGATACATGAATGCTCATTTCCCAGCTTCTCTCACTTAAAGTGATTGTTTTGCCATTTGTAGCTACAAAGTATGAATAGTCAACTGACTTCTGAATGCAATATAGTACTTTGTTTAAATCCTACTACCTGTGGTCTAATAAGTTTTTTCGGTTTTTGGTTTTTGTTTTAAATTTAACAGCAGTTTAAAGGTCTTAATGTTCCAATCCTTGAGCATCCAGAACTCCAGGACATTTTGCTAATTCCTGTCATTGGACCCAGGTAATGTAATTTTTGGAATGACAACCAGTTTGTATTACTGAGTTGCAATGCAGACTTTATTTCTGATCACTTACTATACAGATTACGATACAAGGCCTGCTACTTGTCTTAGACACCATGCACATTTGATTTTTAAAAGATGCAACACTCATTGGAAGGAGTTCTTTCCCCATCTATGAAAGTGGACTTTTTAATTTATATTTCTATTCCCATGGAATAGTTTATCTACTGCTTAACTGACATTACTGTTGAGGGCTAGTCTACATTTCATAACTACATCCACTCTCCAAACTATGATTTTACTAAGTTTGTGTCAAGCGGTCTTGTAATCCAGCTGGACATTAAGTAATTATAGTGTGTACATGCTGTGCATTATACTATAGTATTTGCTATTTCTCTTTAACACGTACTTCTACCTTGCTTGTTGTCCTCTACTAATATTAAATAATTCTCTACAGTATTGTTTCTAAATGTACTATTTATAATTGTTAATAAACCTGAGCATGCTCTCCCATTAGCAAACTTTTCATAGTTGCTGATAAAAAAAAGTGCCTTTCAACCTGTTAAAATGTTTACTGAAGTAAAAACACATTGTATATACTAAATTTTTAAAAGTCATGTTTTGTGGTGATCTGATTGAATATGAAGTGGCTACTAACAGAGAAAAGGGTAGGGGTTGTTTCTGCATTCATGTATAACTAGATTTTGTATTTGCATGTTGTATTGGTAGCAGCAGCACTTTTTCAAGGAAAGGCTTACTTATTGGTATTATTTTTGTTTTTATCAGTACTGAACATACCTTAGAAATGTAATATACAGTATACAGATATACCACCCTGCAATAGAAATAACACTTATGGACTGAAGGGTTGGGGTTTTAAACTTCTGAAATAGAATGACTTTAGTAAGTTTTTGTAAATAAATTACCTTTTATATCTGCAGGAAGGATCTACAACAGCAGTTATCTGAGGTCATTGTCGGAGCCCAGTGTGGGAATGCAGTTCTCCGTGGTGCACATGTCTACGTCCCTGGAATCATCTCTGCTTCAAAATGTAAGCATGATTATTCTAGTATAGAGAAGGGGAAAAAAAGACATCCATTGCTGCTGAAAGTTTATATCTAGTTTACCATGTTTTTGATTGAAACTTAAGGGTTTTTTTTTCATTTTACAAGGCACATAAAATCGTGAATATTAGTTCTCTTTAGCTCTGCTTTGAATTTTCTATACTTTTTAGAGTCTTCCATTTCTAAGTGGAAGAATTAGCGCTCTCTAATATATTTCTACATTTTTCCTGTTTTGACTTAATTTTTTAAGGGCCTGTTTTTAAAGTGAGAACTGATTTGACAGATATGAGAAAAATTATAGTTTTGCTTTATATCAAAGGTAATACTTCTGTAGATTTTGTTATAAGCTAGAATAGTGACTAGTAAAGTAAATACTTATCTTGGATAATTGTATATTTGGCAGTGCTGAGGATTGTCATTTTTCACTCTACGCAGAGGAAAATGTGGTGGCATAAGAGATAACTCTGGATCATAGGACGTTAGGGCCTAAAGGGACTTCATATGGTCATCTATTTCAGCCCACTGCTGAAGGCAGGATCATCCGTGATGAAACCATCCCAGCCAAGTGTCTGTCTAACCTGTTTTTGAAAGTGTCCAAGAATGGAGATTTCACAACTTCTCTAGGTAGCCTGTTCCAATGCGTGACCAGCCTCAGAGTCAGAAAGTTCCCCCTAATCTCCAGTCTAAATTTTCCTTGATGAAGCTTGAGTCCATTGCTCCTAGTCTTGCCCTCCACTTGTCCTAGACAGTGTGCATATTTGCAGAGGAAAGGCCATTTCCATCCTCTCTATACTCACTCTTCAGGTATTTGAAGGTTGTTATCTAAATGCCTCTCGGTCTTATCTTCTCCAGGCTAAATAACCCTAGGTCTTTCAGCCTTTCTTTGCAAGTCTTGTCTCCCAGTCCCTTCATCATTTTTGTTGCCTTGTGCTGGACTCCTTCCAAACTGTCCACATCCTTCTTAAAGTGTGTGGCCCAGAACTGGACACAGAACTTCAGGTGAGGCTTCACTAGTGCTGAATAGAGAAGAATCACTTCCCTTGATTTGTAAGTGATACTCCTGTTACTATAACCCAGGATGCTGTTGTCTTTTTTGCAGCATGGCCACACTGTTGGCTCATATGCAGCTTACGGTCCACTGTAACCTAGTGTCCTTCTCTGCAGTACTGCAGCCCAATCAGTTGTTCCCCTGTCTGTACTTGTGCATACAGTTATTCCATCCTAAGTGCAAGACTTTGCTCTTATCCCTGTTGAATCTCATCTCATTGATTGAAGACCATTTCTCCAATCTATTCAGATAATTCCAGATCCTAGCCCTGCCCTCTAGAGTGCCTTCAGTTCCACCCAACGTGGTCATCCACCAATTTGCTAAACGTGCATTCAGGTCCACATCTTTAATGAAGATGTTGAGCAATACTGGACCCAGGACAGAACCCTAGGGAACCTCATTTTATACCTCCTCCCAGCTATTGAGGACCACATGCTGAATATCATGATCCAACCAGTTAGGTATCAGACAGTACTTTCATCTAGTCTGTGTTTCCTTGTTAATAGAATATTGTGGGAGACAGTGTCAAAAGCCTTGCTAAAGTCAAGGTATACCATGTTCACTGCTCTCCCCTCATCAACAGAGCCTGTCATTTTATTTTAGGAGGAAATCGGATTGGTCAGGCATGGCTTGTTCTTGGTGAGTCCATGCTGAGTGTTCCTGATCACCTTGTTTTCCTCTAGGTGCTTCTCAATGGGATTCCTTGAGAACCTGCTCTATGATTTTTCCAGGTATCAAGGTCAGGCTGACTGGTTTGTAGTTCCCCAAATCTTCCTACACATTTTCAAAGATGGGCACTACATTTGCATTTTTCCAGACATCTGGGACCTTCAGTATCCTTGGGTACATACCATCTGACCCTGCTGACTTGAAAGCATGTAATTTGTCCAAGTAATCCCTGACATGTCCTGTGACTACTCTAGGCTGTTTGTCTCCTTCCATATCTCTGATGTCAACTGCATTCATCTGGTAGCTGTTCCTATTTGTGAAAACTGAAGTAAAAAAGCATTAAATACTTCAGCCTTCCTGGCATTGTCTGTGAGCAGTTTGCCTCCTGCATTCCATAAGGGGCCCATGGAATCCCTGGTTTTCCTCTTACTTTTGACATACCTATAGAATCCCAGTGTATTGCCTTTTATGTCCCTTGCCAACTGCATTTCAAATTGTGGCTTCCTAATTTTATCCCTGCATGCACTTATACTTTTTCCTAGTACTGTGACCAAGTTTCCACTTTTTATAGTATTTTTTTTTGAGTTTCAGCTCCTTGAATTGATCATTATCTAGCCAGAGTGATCACCTGTTGCACTTCTTCTGTTGCATCAGGATAGCTTGGTCCAGTGTCCTTAAGAGAGCCTCCCTAAAGTGCAGCCAACTCTCCTGGACTTTTTTCCCTCTCAGCCTTTCCGCACAGGGGACCCCACCCACAGGTTCCTGAGTTTGTTAAAGTTTGCTTTTCTTAAATCCAGTGTCCTTATTTTGGTTCTCTCCTTCCTTCCTCCCTTTAGGATCTTGAACTCTGTCATTTTGTAGTCACTATCAGCCAAGTTACCTTCCACCTTTACAGTATCAGTCAGTTCCTGTTTCTGAGTAGTTAGTCAAAAAGAGCTTCTCCTCTCATTGGCCTCTACTATCTGAATCAAAAAGTTATCCCCAACGCACTCCAAGAACTTGCTGGACTGTTTGTGCACTGCTGTGTTTCCCTCCCAGCAGATGTCCCGATAATTAAAGCCCCCCATCAGAACCAAGTCCTGCAATTTGGAAGCTTCTGCCACTTGTTGAAAGAATGCCTCATCCACCTTCTCCTAGTTTAGAGACCTATAGCAGATACACACTATGACATTTCCCCCTGCTGCTGTCCCCTCTGGCCTTTACCAAGAGACTTTTAACAGGCCTACCTTCCATTTCATACTGCACCTCTGGACATGTATACATCACTCTTATATATAAAGAAATGCCTCCTCACTTTTTTACCTCTCTCTCTTTCCTGAACAGCTACATGCATCTATGACCATAATGTGAACTATCCCATCACATCTCCATAATCCCAGTTACATCATAATTCTCTGATTGTACTAGGACCTTCAATTCTTCCTGTTCATTCCCTATACTTCTCACATTACTTTGTAAACATTTAAAGTGTCTAACTGACTGAACTGTCTTCTCCCTACAGACAATGCTAAGATTTCTATTATTGCTTCCCCTTACTAAAGTCTCCAGGCTCTTTACTTACCTCTAGCCTTTTGTCTCCATGCCCAAGTGAACTTTTTTACTCTTTAACACCCACCAGTGTTATCAGGTGTTATCGTCTGATATGCTGGCAAATAAAGACTCATTGCCAGGTACAGACATTACACTTTTACCAGTATAAGTGATCAGAAACCAGTCTATACCCATAACAAAACAGAAGTTTGGCATACATAAACTGGTTTAAAAATGGCATAACCCAATCTAATATTCCCCCACCCACCAAAGGTCAAATGCATGTTCTGTTTGCTAGCCATCTTAACTACACTGCTTGCAGAAAACTGTGCAACTTAGATCTATTCCACCTCAAGCTTTTTGAATGTCTGTACCTAGTTACTGATTCATGATTTTTTAAAATCCTAAAAAATCAGAGGTAAAGCAGAAATGACTTTTTTTCCTCTTGAGAAGAAAAAAAATCTTCTATCTTTTAGAAAATAACAACTCCTACTTTATATACTGGAGAGTGCTTAGTGTTCACTTGCATATTGAATCACTTTATAATATTTGTTTTCTTTAAAGTTCAAATGATTTTTGTCGCATAATTTTGGATGATTCACCTTGTTATCATCATGGTAGTGACTGTTGATCTGTTAACTGAAGAGATATTTGTTAAAAATGTAAACAAGCAAATTTTAGTCCCAAGTTATGAAAGCTATTATGCCTATGCTCAAACCGATCCCCACTCAAGAAAGCAAATAAACACATGCTTAACTTAAAATGTGTGCATAAATCACATTGACTTGGACTGCTTTTCTGAATCCAGACTTATGAGGACTCAAATAAATAGCTTCAGCATTTTTTAAACTGCTTTTTGTACAAACACATTACTCAGGAATATGCAAAAATACCTTCTGAACAAGCTAGTGATTCATAATCATTGATGCTTATTAACAAATAACGTCAAATAAAAGTGGGAAAATATGTTGAATAAGACTTTACAAATACTGCACAAAAAGAGAATGCAATTAGAGGGCATGCTTGAGGCCACATACAGTAAAGCCTTGTGCCTAGAAACAGTACTTAATATAGAAGATATAATTAGGGGAGGGCGGGGAATAGATAGAAGCCGGACTCGAGGGGATCGCCTTCAGACCTCAGGTTGGGGAGGACCGGGTTAGAGAGCTTCTGGAAGGGCTGGACGTGTTCAAGTCAGTGGGTCCGGATGCTCTCCACCCCAGGGTGTTGAGGGAGCTAGCTGGGGTTATTGCAGGGCCCCTGGCACGGCTCTATGAGCGATCGTGGTGCTTGGGCCAGGTGCCAGATGATTGGAAGGTAGCAAATGTGGTCCCCATCTTCAAGAAGGGGAAGAGGGAGGACCC